ATATATATATATATATATGTGTGTGTGTGTGTGTGTGTGTGTGTGTGAGAGTGTGTGTGAGACAAGGATCAGTGAACTTATTCTATGGTCGGGTGAGTTGAGGTTCCCCAGTTCCTCTTTGGGGACTGTCCTCAAATTCTTATCTGGTGACAATACTGTTTCCCTCCCCTCCTCAAAGTTCCAAGTGCTAGGCAACGGAGCGTACTTGGTTTTCTAAGTGTAAATCCCATGCCCACTCTCTGAGAAAGAAAATTGATTCTGGCTCCTACCCACTCAGGAGGCTGAGGCAGAAAGATCACGAGTTCAAAGTCAGGGTGGGTAAATTAGTGACTTAGCAAGACCCTACCTATCTCAAAATTTAAAAAAAGAAAAACAGGGCTATTGGTGTAGCTCAGTGTGAAGGCCTTGGATTCCATCCCTGGTACCACAAAAGGAAAAAGAAGAGGGGAGAAACTGGGAAACAGGGACCAGAGAAATATTTATTTATTTATTTATTTATTTATTTTTTGGCAGAACCGGGGATTGAACTCAGGCCCTTGCACTTGCCAGGGAAGCGCTTGTTCTACTGAGCCATCTCCCCGGCCCCCAGAGAAACATTTATTCTGAATAAGGAAGAATGAACTTCAGTCCAAGAAAATGCCACATTTGTAGCAATTGTAACAATTGTGAAATTGCTTATAACATGACATATACTCCATTGAAGAGAAGCAGGTGAACAGGGTTTTTAAAGTAGGACTGCTTAAGGCCTGGGGAGATGGCTCAGTGGAATAAATGCTTCCCTGGCAAGCGCAAGGGTCTGAGTTCAATCCCTGGTTCTACAAAAAAAAAAAAAGTAGAACTGTCCAAACCCACAAGGCCATTACTTTCTTGCTTTTTTATTTTTTTATTTTTTTGGTGGAACCAGGGATTCCACAGCACAAGCTGCAGCCAGGACATCCCATCCAAACACTACTACTACAAATCCTTCCTCTCACTGAACCAAGCGAAAGCAGCCGTACATCTATCCTAACTATTCTGTATATACAAATACAAAATGGTCCTTCCTTTGTATCCCCCCCTCTTCGGTTCAGTCCTGTCAGAGATGGGTAGTCTATTGGCATCTAAATATTATAGGTGCTTGAATTCAGCAAAACAATCCGACACAGTCCAGTAGTCCACAACAGTAGGGGGTTGTCCGCAGAAGTTGCTGACTAAAGCCTTCTACAGCTCAGCATATTTATA